AGAAGGCGAGGAAAAGGATTCTGACGGGTTATATTCTGCTGCACAAAGAAATGCGGAAAAAGAACTTTTTAAAACGGTGATTTTTAAATAATTTTTGGGTATTTTTTTAAATTTATATATTAGAAACATCGATATGAACCTTCTAGAAAGCATTCTTCTAAAAGTACAACATCTAGAGTTATGAGAAATGCAACACAAAAATGTTTGTAAAAATAAATATTAATTAATTTAATTAAAATTTAAAATTAAAAAGCCCCACAAATTGACCCTCAAAGAATTATGAGAAAAGCTCCTCACAGATTAAGCCAACAAAAATCTTCCCATCAAGGATGTGCTTCTGACAGTGGTTCTGGTGCTAGCCTTAATTCTAATAATAATCAAACACAATGTTAAGTTAACGAATTTGTTTTTTAAAAAAATTAGAGGAATATGTAGATATTTTTATTTAATTATTTTTTAGGGGAAATTCATCAAGTAGTTATTCAATGTTTGTTACTTATTCAAACCCTCCCAGTTCTACCCCCCAAACTTCCACCCAAAATATTTTTTATATTCCCCAACATTTAACTAAAGGTTTCTTTAAACAATTTATTTAAATTTAAAAATAATTATCTGAAGAATTGGTTAAATCCAAATTAAATGAATGGAATTTAGAAGAACAATTTAATCAATGCTTTGGGGCTGAAGAAGTTGATGAATTAACTTTTGCTACTTTGAGGGAAGAAGAGGCAATTAAATTTAAGAATGTTTTTTATTTTTAATTTCTAATTTAAGGTTTGGCAAGTTTTAGTAGCACAAGGATGTCAAAATCGACAACTTTTCAAACAATTTTTGGCAATTATTCAAGATATTAAAAAATGTACTGCTTCTTCAGAATTGCTTTGAAAATAAAAATTAATTAAAAGAAATCAGAATTTATTGTAATTTATTTAATTATAAATAAAACTTTTTTTAAAGAAACGGCTTCTAGTAGTTTTTCTTGTAAAAGCTCCTTTCCAACAAATTATTTTATTTTCTATTTTTGTTTAAAATAAATTTCTATTTAAATTTCTCAAAATATATTTATTTATTTATTACATCAAAATCAGAAAAGATTATCTTTTCTCTAAAATAATAACAAAAAAATATTCAAAACAGCTCAAGACTTGCCCCAAATTACGTAAATAATTTTTCTTAAAGAAAACTGTCAGTTTAGACATTAAAAATGAGCTAAAGTGAAAACGAGTGAAAGAGATTAGTTCTTTTTTTTATCTTAATCTTTTTTATAATCTAATACTACTATAATATATGTATATATTTTTTTGAGTCTTCCATCATTTTATATTATTTTGAGCTTTTAAAATATCTTTATATTCAAAGTGTTTCCTTTTTTTAATTTTTTTATAAAAAAATATCGTTGAATCTAAAGACCGGACTGGGAGTGTCGTATGAGAATCAAGATCTCGTCTCGGTCCAGTCTCTAGTTGAATCTGTTATAGATTCGACATCAAAGGTAATTTGTATATTATAAATACTTTCCTCAAAAATGAAATTGTAGGTAAGTAGCAACTAATAATTTTAGTTATCAGTTTCGAATTTAAATTAATAGATAATTGAATAGCCGCCTTTCTAAATATTCCTCAAACCCTATGAATTTTGCCTTTCAATTACCCATATAATTAGACTAAATATGGTATTTTCTAGTGATGTTCGGAGAAGAAAAAACCGGGAAACGGGAGTCGGGTCGGGATTTGACATCGAACAGGAATAGTATTTTCCCTCACTAAACACTATACCCAATTATTTTAACCTTCGCTTCCTACTATTGTTATTTTTAATATTAAATTTAATTTTATTAAACGTTTAGTAAAAAATAAAAATAATTTTATATTCATCAAAAAAATAACAAATTTATTATTTATTTATTTATTGAATTATTATAATTATACATATTTGTATTTTCCCAATAGTACATTTATTTATTTTCAAAACATTTTTTATTCAAATAAACATTTATTCATTTCCCTCAGTAATTCTAGTTTTTGCCAAGTTAGCAGCAATAATATTTACTAGTAAATAATACTTATTTGTATTTACTTCTAACTACGCGCAAAATAAAAAAATATTTTTTGTATAAAATAATTTATTAAAAAAAGAATGAGATTTTGAAGAGTTTTTAAATTAAAATTGTATTCATAAAATATGAAATAACACCCCAAACTAAAAATCAGATAACCAAACAAACTTTAAATAAACTTAAAAAAATAATTGTCTTATTTTTATTAATTTAATTAACCTTTTCTAAACTTTTTTTTTAATTTAAAAAGAGAGAGGGATATCTAGGTGAATGACTTGTGTGTCAATTTTTTGCTATAAATATCGAAAAAGGAAAAAAAAGAATTGAAACTAGAAAGAGGAGATAGCCCCATCAATTTCATTAGTACATTTTTGCCACATTTCCTTCTCTTTTTTTTACCCTCATCTATTTCTTTTAAAGCTAGTAGACTGTGAGTGAAGAAACGTTTTTGTGCCATTCCTTCCTCCTCCTTTTTTTCAATTTAAATAAAGGTGCTTGATGGCAGTTTACGAGAAAAAGACTTTTTGATGACAATACACATATCCCCATATATTACTTCTCCTTTTTTTATTATTTTTTCCCTAAAAATTACTAAAGAATATTTAAATAAATTGCTTTTTCAAACAAAAATTTTAGGTTTTTGTATATTTATTAGTAAATTCAGATTTATTGTTATCTTAATTTAAACTCATTTGTCTTAGATTCTTTATATTTATATAATTAAGAAAATTAAAATTTACCGCATCAAAACCTTCTCCATAGTTCAAGAGAAGAAACCTCGACATTCATCTTTTTCAAAAAGCCGTTTGAGACTTGTAAAGAGTTTAACTATAAATTTAAAATATTTTAACTACTACTCCAATCCTTGCTAAATTTTATTTTTGCTATTTTCTTTTTTGTATTGTTTAAACTTTTTAAATATTTATACCTTTTTAAACGAGAAAATTTAAAATATAATTTTATTTTATTTTTCTTTTGTTTACCTCCTTTTTGTTTGTTTTTTCTATTTTTTAAGACTTAAAGTTTCAATTCTTCTTTTTCTCATTTTCTCAATTTCCTTAAAATATCAATGCATTATCTATTTTTTTTTAAAAAGAATTTTTCCTTTTCATATTTTTTAATTAATTTTAAATATTTTTTATTTAAAACTTTTCAATTTCTTTGTTAACCAAATTATTTCTTTATTCGTTAATTCAGCAACTTTGTAGTTCAGGAAACTCTCAACGAGCTCAAGATGATCGAGTACCAAATCTGAGCGCTTACCATATTAAGACTGCTTTACTTTTTCAATTCCAACTCATATCTAAATAATATTTTGATCTTTACTAACAATTAAAAAAAACATTTTTCTATAAGTATTTTTAATTATTCATTTAATTTTTTTACTTTTATTAAATTATAGCTGCTTTGTTAATAGTTTATTTGACAAAAGTATGTAAAATTACTTTAAAGAGTGTCCTTCTTTTAAAGTAAAAATATTCCAAATTATCTAAATACATATTATTAACTAGACCCGCTAATTTCAACGTGAGAAAGTATTTTTAAAATATTTTTACTTTAAATAAATAAATTCATTTGTTAAAAAAAACTAATTTTACCTGTCAGAAAAGTGAGAAAAATTGAAAAAATAAATAAAGAGAAAAGCAAAAACAAACAAAACACTTATACATATTTAAACTCTCTAACACTTTTTTAAATTTTTTAATAAAAATTCTTTTTCTCTTTTTAATTTTAACACTTTCTATTGCTTTTAATTAAATAAAGGTTCAATAGAAAATATTTTTAGTAAAATATTTCTAAATTAAACAGAAATTCATCTTTATCCACATATTATTTTTAATTCGAAAATTAACTCATTCGTTTGGCACATTCAATGTTTTGAAGTCAATTCACGTATAATTAGCATTGAGGGGGCGTTAATCGTTCAGGGATCATAGCCCCTAAAACTCTTACAAAATATTTCCATGTAAATTTTGTTTTTTTCTATTCTTCACCTGACATTTACACACTCACACACACATTGCCTGGAGAAATCCACACCATTTACTTAACATATCATTTCCATTACAAATTCCAATTAATGCTTTAGGATAAGCCGTAAAACTGAAAATAAAAGCTAACAAAAAACTTTTATTAAGAATGGGAATGGGATTTTATGGCGCAGTAATTACCGACGTGTGTTTATAAAAATAGATGAAATTTTGCTTAAAATTTATGTCTGAGGACCAAGACTGAAGACTCCAAGACAAGACAGAAAACCCTAAGAAATTTTTTGTTTTAAGACTGGTTAACAGTCTTTGCTTATTATTCTACGTATTTGGAATATTAAAAGCACACGCTCAGGCAAAACAGCGCCCGATTATCATTGCCAAACAACGGCTGCAATTACTAAACAAACAAACATATGTGTGCCTATTTTTGTAATAAAGTTTGGCATTAATTAATTTTAACCAATAAATATACATATATGGATATATAAATAAATTCATTTTATTATTTTACGTTTATTTATTTTAAACTTTTTTTTTCTAAAAAACAATTTTCATTTAGAAAAAAAACTTTTCCTTTCTGAATCGATAGCTTTGCGGTTACGTACATAATTTTATTTTTTCGTATCTATTTTTAAACACTTCCGAGTTACATAATTATTCTTTTCTAAATAGACAATACATACATATTTAGTTTTTATTTATCCACAAATTGACTTTTGATTATTTTAATTTTCCAACAAATATTTTATTAAATAAAATCCTTAAAAGAATTTTAATAAAAATTCTTAAAGTATAATCTCTTTAAATAATGATTTTTTTCTCATTTTTTAGTAAATATTATAATTTTTATTATAATATGTATTAATCCTAAAATATTTTAACGAAATTTTTCTCAAGAATAAATGCCTAATATTTTTACGAAAAATTAGTAATTGAATAAAACAACACAAAAAATGAGTGGATTTTCTCTTCAATTTCAGTCTGGTTTAGTACTCGAATCATTTCACATTGAACCAGAAAATCTTTCTTTAAGAAGACTTAAACAAGAAGCTGTAGATTTTGTTAATAAACATGTAAGAGAAAATAATTAAAAGTATGTAGGGTTAAGTGGGATCGGGCGGTACTATCCCGGTTTTTTGAATCTCGATCCCTCTCAACTCTAATTAAAAATATATTCCCAAAAACAAACTTTAATTATTTTAATTTTTAGCATCCAAAACAGCGTTTAGGTGATCGTTTAGCCGATCACATACTTCTCTATAAACACGACCCTCGTTCTGTTAACATTCTTCAATTGATACAATCAGCTGATGAAATAAGTGAAGGATGTCTTTTGGAAATTGTTATTAGTCGTGGGTTTTCACTTAAAATATAATTTTAATTTTTCTAATTTATTAACCTCTAATTATTTTTTAAATTTTATTCTTTTCAAATTATTTATTTTCACTTTCCTTTTATTAACCTTTTTTTATTCATTCAAAGTCAATTCCATCAAAGGGCAGGTTACCCGCATTGAAATAATGCATGTGCTATTTTTTATTTTGAATCGATTTTAATGCCTTACACAAAAGTGTTATTTTCACTCATAAATTTAAAAAAATTCCCTCAAATAACTAAGTACATTTTTATTAAAATTTTTTTTATTATTTATTAGTTAAATAGGAAATATTCTTTTATTTATTTTTCTCTTCCAAAATGAGAATCTTCTTAATTTTTTGAAATATAAAGTATTTAGGTATTTAAAATACATATATTTATTTTTATCTGCTACTTAAAGAGATAAAAGAAATCCATTTAAACTTTAAATAGAAAGAGTTTGCAAAAGTTTAGCCACCGGGCAGGATTCGAACCTGCGACCACCTGCTAGTTATTGCTAGGCTTTCGCTCACTATATGCAGGAGCTCTACCGTTGAGCTACCGGGGCATCGACTAATGCTTTCTCTTTTTCCTTTTTAGATCGTTTATCCCCCGCCTAAGCGTTTTAAATGCTGCTAGGTGAATCATCCTTACAAAATTATTAAATCCAATTAATTTTTTTATCATTAATTCAAACTTTTTTTTTTAAATTCTAAAAAGAAATTATTTTTTTCCTATTTTATAATTTTCTTTTATCATTCATCAGTCATTTACTTTTCATTATTATTACCTTCAAAATTATAAAATTATATTTTTCTTTCCCCCATCTTTACCCATCCATGCATGCTTTCATTCATTTATGTTTTGCCCTTCATTTCCATGGCAACATTTCACTCATTTTTAGGCTTTTGTATCAATAATTTTTACTCAAATTTTATTTAAAAGTAAATATATCCCCTCTCTCTAATATTTATCTTTAATTTAAATTAAAAAAAGAGACCTCTCAAGAATACAGCATCTTTTTTTTATTTTTTTAAAATTTATTATCACGTGGTTTTTAAGGATTTAAATTAATAAATTAACTAATTTTTTCTTTAAAAACTCTTTAAAAAATATTCGAGTATTTCTTGTATATTTTCCCAAACCTTTAGTATATTTTTAATTAATTTTAGATGGTCTTCTAAATTTATATAAAAAATCTTTTTTTTCAAATAAATCCCCTTCTCTATCTAATTATTAATTAATTTTATCTCCTCGACATTCTCTGAAGTTCAAAAATCATTAATTTTAATTTCCTCATTCTTTTTTATTTTATTTTGTCTGTTTAAATAAATAAATTTGAAATTCAACAAAAATTTTATTTTGTTAAAACACTGGTATAAACAATAAATAACATTAAAATTAAAATATTTTTAATTTTAATAAAAACGAGTTTTTATTAATATTCTTTTTAAACGAGTTTCTTTTAGGTAGCACCCCAAGCTTCGGGGTTCGGGAGTGTCGAGTTTCGGGGTTTGCCTGGATAGAGCCTTCGGGATTCGGGTCGGGGTTTTTGCCTAAAAGTTTGTCGGGTCGTTGTTTCGGGGGACGGGATGCTACCCTAGTTTCTTTCCAAAAAAATCCAAGTTTCTGTTTTTTAATTTTGTGTTGTTAAATTATTTTATATATTTTTAAGTCTTTTAACTATATTTTTCATCAAAATTTGTTAAATTCAGAAGCATTTATGAAAATTACAAATTAATCTCTCCCCCCCCCCCCCCATTAAATAAATCCGGAAATTAAAATTTACAAAAATTAATTTAATTTATTTTCTATTTAATATTCATATAAATTATAATTAAATTATTTTATTTTTTTTACAAAACACAAATTCATTCATTTATTTTCCTTCACCTCCTTTTAATGTTCACAAGATATATATTGGCAGCATCTCACAAATCCTTTTTCTTCCCCCGCAAATTATATTTTTTATAAAATCTCGTACTTCTCTTTTCATTTATTTAAAGACCTTTTTAGTATTTTATATATATTTTCTAGCTATATAATATCCTTCCCCCTTATTTTTGCGCTTCTTCTTGGCCATTATTTTTTTCTTTCCTACTCACATTTTTTCAGTTTTTTCTTTCACACACCATTCATTTTTATTCACGGCTCATTCTCCCGCAATCCACTAAAAAAGCAAAAAGGATAGCAAACAAATACCACCACAAACACACACACAATCTATTCTCTTAACAGATTCCTTGGCCGTTAATTTATAAAATAAATAAATATCAAAAATATTTTTTGAAATAACAGTAATTATTCTCTGATAAAGACTTTGCTATAATTGACTTCTAAATTAGTAAACTCTATAGAATAACCTCTAATATCATATAATTCTGACTTTTACTTCATACCCTTTTACTCTGTTTTTAAAAAATTTATCAAATATTCTTTTCTCATTTTATTTTTTTGATTAACTTCTTTTCTTACTTTTCTTACTTTTTTTATCTTTAATGCAAACATTAGATCAACATAAATAAAAAATATTTAATCGAACAAAATTCCCATCAAATTTTAATTTTATTTTTTTACAAAAATGGATATTTTTGTGCTTGGATGTAAGTTTTGTATTGGAATTGTTAAAAACATATTCTTTTAATATTTTAAAATAATTTTAAAATTTTCTATAATCTTTGTATCTATTCTATCATTTCTCATATTTAACAAAAAAATCATTAATTAAAAAATTAATTTCCAAAAAATTCTGTTTCAATTTTTTCTATTTTTATAGCTTGTCCTCAACACGAGCGTTTAGTAGTCCATCCCCATACACTCTATGTTCACTCATACAAGACACCTACATTTTGTGATTTTTGTGGGGAATTACTTTTTGGACTAGTTAAACAAGGATTGAAATGTCAAGGTATTTTAAAAGGAATCAGAATATTTAAAATAAACTTTGGTCAGAAATTGTTTGAGGAAAGATTAAATATTTGTAATCAGAATAATACACTTTTAAAAAATCAACATTTAGACCATAACAATGTCAGAAAATAAATTCAAATTAATTTTAAGGTTGCGGTTTAAACTACCACAAGCGTTGTGCCTCCAAAATTCCAAACAATTGTAGCGGTAGTAGACAACGTAGACCTTCGGCTATACCTTTGTCACCCCGAAATTCAGTTGGATTTCAAGTAAAAAAGGAAAAAAAGATTTCCAAAAAAAAATTATTTTTTAGTCGCCAATTTTTGGTAGCGGCAACATTTCTTCTCAAGCATTAAATGGCCTTTCTACAACTCTCCCACCTAGAGCATCATTTTCCTCGGCATCTTTTACAGAAACTTCAAGTGTTGTTTCTTCTATATTTCCTTGTACAACTTGCAATAATAATTTAAAAAATTTATCAACAATATCAACAAATTCTAATAATTCAAATATTAAAAATCAAAAAGAAGAAAAAGGAGGAGGAGGAGGGACACAACAACAACAACAGCCAGCTATTTGTGTTACTAGTGAACGGTCTTTGGATGATGGAGATCCGATTGGAGGAAATGTTTGTAGTTTTTTTTCAACTAAATTTTTGGATTACAAAATAACTTAAAAATAGCAAAAACCAAATAACTCACAAAATCATAAAATTTACCAAATTTATTCTCTCCAAACATTTTAATTTTACTTCTTTAACAATCATTCTTACTAATTTTCAATCTCTAACATTTTCAAAAATATTTGACAATTATTTTCTCTTTTTTTGCAAAATCTGTAAGCATTTATTTCTAATCTCTTGGTTCGACTTTAACTGAATAAAGTTAAATAAAGAAATTTCCCATGCTAAAGGAAGGAAATTTTTTTAAGAAAAATTTCCCATTTTCATTTTCCCTAGATTTCCTTCAATAATTCTGATTATACTCTATTAAAATGTTTCTAGTAAGTTTGGATTGAATTGAAAACAAAGAGATCTCCCCGACTTTATTTTCTAGCTAAGAGCATTTGTTTTTAATTTTAGTAATCTCCTATTTAATTTTAAAACATTTCGATTTGATTTTAATAATTAATTGAGGATTTCTCGAATTATTTTCGAAAAAATGTTTTTAAAAAATATTTAATTTCTAAAATTATTTTGGACTTTATGTTAATTATAAAATACTCAAAATTTTTCTATATTTTGTGTACTTTATAATTTATCAGAATATAAACTACACATTATTTTTCTCTACAAATTTTTTTTCTAAAAATAGAAAAAATTAGAGATATTTTTTGTTCCTTTTTCCGTGTCCCCAACAGGGCTAAATATAGCCTCGTTTTTATTTATCATCGTCATAACTCTATACTTTTATTAAAATAAAATTTTTACCGTTAAATAGAAAAATAAATATTTAAGGGTTTTAATTTAAAAAATTATTCCAAAAATCAGAAACCCTAATTTTAAGATTTTAACGAGTTTCAAGCATTTTTCACTCTTTCAACAGTTAATTTTGATTTTTTCAAATTCTTTAAATATCTAAAAAATACATATTTTATTTCTTAAACTTACCTACAAGTTGGAAATAAATTAAAAGTTTAGTGAAATCTTTTACTTTTAATAAAATACCAGAAATTAACAAATTGATATTCTTTTATTGTCTAGTTTCTTCAAATGTCTCGTAAAGATCGAAGCAGCAGTTGGAGCGGAAGACCTTTATGGATGGAAGTGGCAGAAGCAACTAGAATTAAAGTAAATATTTTAGTAATCTGAGTTTCGACACCCCGATACTTGGACTTACCCTGGAAAGGTTTTTTAGATCCGTTAATAAATTCTCGTAAGAATTCATGAATACAGGAAAATCATAAAAAATGTCCAGAATACATATTTTCTATCTCCAAGCCAATTAAAGTTCAAATTAATTTTCAGGTTCCCCATACATTCCAAGTTCACAGCTATAAACGTCCTACAGTCTGCCAACATTGTAAAAAACTTTTAAAAGGGTTAATACGTCAAGGACTTCAATGCAGGGGTAATTTTAAAAAAAATATTTGTATTTTAAATTTTTCTAAGACTGCAAATATAATTGCCACAAAAAGTGTGCCCAACACGCAGCTAAAGATTGTGCTGGAGGGTTATCAGCAACATCCCCCTTTAATTGTCAATTGAGTGATCGAGGAATGCAAGCGGGAAGTGAAGAAAGTAAGAAGACTTTTTTTCAATTTTTATATGAAATTTTGCTTTCCCCCTTTGTTTTTTTGCTGTGGATTTGTTTGGCATTAAAAACAAATTAATTTGGAGAAAGTTTAATAATTTTAATGAAAGTTTTTGGGGGTTCTTTTGTTGTTTGAAATTTTCTTCTGAAAAATATATTCGAATAATTATTTAAAAATTAATTTGTTTTTTTTTGCTTTGCTTTTTTTAGTTTTTTCCTTTCTTTTCCAGAATCAAATCAACAGTCTTCATATCTTAGAAAAATTAAAAATGAGCCTTGCGATGAAAGTGATGATGGATCAACAGAGGAGAGTGGTTAGTTTATTTGTGTAAAAATTGCTTTATTGAATGGATTTTGTGTTTATTTTTGTTTAAAAATTTTATTTTTTTTCACATTTTAAGTACTAAATGACGAAGATTTAACTGCAACAACAACAATTTCAACAAATTCTCGTTTGCAAAAACCTTGGGCTCAATCAACTCCGAGTGCTCCTCTTTCCAGTACAGAGAAGGAAAATACTAGCAGCAGCAAAACAGGAAAAATCAGACAACAACAAAAGGAAGAACAACAAAAGACAATAAATACAATGACTGATTTAGATGAAGATGAGGATTTAAATATTGCTAAAGAAAGTGCAAATATTCCATTAATGCGTGTTGTTATGTCCAAAAAACAAACAAAAAGGCCAACAACAAATAGGGCACTTAAAGAAGGATGGATGGTGCATTATACAGAAAGGCATTCTATGAGGAAAAAGTAAAAAATGAAATAAATATTTTGAAATAAAATTATTTTTAAGGCATTTTTGGCGATTAGACCCTAAAGCAATTACTATGTTTAAAGATGAGACAGCAAGTAGTTATTATAAGGTAGATGATACATATTTAATTAATTAAATATTAATTTAATTAGGGGAAGATAAGTTTTGAGAAAATTTTTCATTTATTTTCTCTTGGCGAGTGCCAATTTTATTAAATCTTAAAAATCCAAAAAAATTTCTCAATTTAGGAAATCCCATTGAGTGAAGTTCTAGAAGTTAAAATAGCACCAGGCATAGAAGAGGATCATACAGAGCTGAGCCGCAGTCCAACACACTTTTTTGAGATTAGAACCCATACTTCAACTTATTTTATTGGTAAGTTTATTTTTTTAATTAAAAGAAAATTTTTAGAATTAAATTAGTAATATTTTTGGGTGTTAATAATATTCTTTAAATTTTTGCAAATAATTTGGTTGATCACTGCTTTTATTTTTTCATTTTTTAAAATTTCTTCTATTTTTATTTTTGCTTACGTATATTAGATAATAAGGAAGAAAATTTGTTTTTTAGAAAAATTTAGTGATGAAAGAATAATAGTAAAATAATTTATTCATTTTTTATGTCCTCTTTAACTTATTTTCTTTAAACGCCCACACAATTAAATTCCAAAAATCAGTTAATTTAATTAATTATTTAATTTGTTTTTTCTTAATTTGTAAACAAAGAACAGCACAATTTAAAAATAAATAAAATATTGGGGGAGAAGTGGGCGTTATAGAATATGGGTTTCTTTAGGACGCAGCCTCAAAAACTGTTAATTAGAACTTAAATTTTTCCACAAATATCCCAACTATGTAGTTACTTACTTATCTTTTACGACTTACTCCCTTCTATTTAAGTATTGAGTCTTCAGAAAGATGGATAGGTTTAGACCGATTTCCTATCCTAGTTAAGCTAACACTTTTTAAAATATCTATACAAATTTCACTTCTTTTGTGAATTATTATTTGTTTGTTTGTTAATTATTAAAGTTGTTTGTGAATTTGTTAACGCCCCAAACTTTACCGCGCCTTAATAACCTCTCCCTTTTAATTTTGCAAAATTTAAACGCCTACACAATTAATTCCAAAAATCAGTTAATTTAATTAATTATTTAATTTTTTTAAATCGAAGAACAGAATTACTATAAAAAGTAATTTTTGTGACGAATTTGTTGATATATTAAATGATCAACGAGTGAGAGAGAGAAATTATTAAATTTTAGGGTTACTTAATACAACATATAACTATTGCGTATTGCTTTTTTTTTATTTACTAACAATTATTTTTTATTAATTATTACGTCACGAAGGTTAAACTTTTTAGGAAAAATTTGGGGTTTGTTAAAATTGGTTTGTGTTTTTAATTATGTAAATTTGCTGGTTTTTAAGATCTAGCCAATTTTTAATGTTGCATTTATTTTTAAAATGTTTTTTTTATTCTGTGAAGGATTTATTTTCCAAAAATTATTTTTGTATCCTCTTCTTGATTTTAATTTACATTTTTTTATTTCTCAAAAAAATTCATTTTTACTTTATTTTCTCTCTCTTCTCGTTTTATACTTCTAATTTATATCCATTTTTGTTATTTTTACAAAATTTATTTATTCGCGCATGTTTCTAAAAATGTAAAAACGCATTAACTAAATACATCACAAAAATATTAGGGAGGGGAGGAGGGATTTATTTTTGCTTATATAAAAGGAATGGAATTAAATAACTTTTATTTTTATTTGCTTTTAAATATTAATAAATATTTATTTGAAGAATTAGTAAATAAATAAATGCTTTTTTAGAAAATAATAAAATGTTTTTCATTTATTGCCTATTTAAGATTATTTATTTTTGGAATTAGTTTTGCGGTTGTTTCTAAATTTGTTAATCTTATTTTTATAATATTTTTAATTTTTTTTGTATCTCAAGTTTGGATTCAATAACTAGAATTCCTTAACTTTTTTTTTAATTTTTGGAAAAACTGCACGGGAATAAATGAATACTCCTTGGACCTTTTAAAGACTTTGAACAATCTTAATAAATAAGAAACAACTAAAAATTGATAGATCTTTCTTTATCCACATAAATGATTCTTGTTATAAATAGTTTTAAGAGGATGTATTTCCTGATATATTTCCATATACTTGTCAGTCCTAATTGTCCCAAAGTAATATCGCATAGATGCTTCCAGAGATTATATCCTTGTGCTCGATGCATTATGTGGAGTTCACTTACAAAAATAAACCTAATCTAAAAAATCATTATAAAGATAATTATTCTTCTAAAATAGATTTTTTTATTTTTCTTTACAAAATTTCCTTTTTTAATTTTTTGATAGCACTTAAATTTAATTTCCTTTTTTAAACACTTATTGATAAATTCTAAATAGAATTTTTAATGATTGTAAAAAAATATTTTTTAATGTTTTTTATTTGTCATTTTTTCGATTAAAATTATACTAAATTAGATAATAAATTTCGAAATGTTTTGATTTTTTATTAATTTTTCTATAAATATTTGATCAAAAATAATAAATTAAACTTTTTTGTATCAAAAACTTGATAAATTCTCAACTTTTAATTATTACTAATTTTCTTAATTTTAATTCTTTTTTGACTAAATTTGGCCAAAAATCCCGCACAACTCGTTAAATTCTTTTTACTCTTCTTTAACTTTTCTTTGCATTTCTTTCTTTCATTACCTCATGTGATGATAATTAAATATTTTAAAATTTATTTATTTGCAATAAATAGATAGGTAGGTAGACAAGTTATCTTTTTTTTGTAATTTTTTAATATTTTTTTCTAGAAAATTTTTTTTCTAATTTTATCATTTTTAAATTTCCTTCAATTTTCCAAAATTATTCCAAAATTTATTTAATTTATTAAATATTTTAAAAATATTCTATTAATCTTAAATGAAACAAAACTTGTTTTTTATTTGAATCTTCCTTTATTTTTAAGTGGTGTCTATTAAATATAGAATTTTTTTCCTTTTTTTCTCTTTTATTTGCCGAATTTAGTATTTTTTTTTTGAAAATTTATTTTTAAATAAATTTATTTTTTTTTCATTTTTTTATTTCTAAAATTAAACACTTACCATATTTACTTGATTACTCCTTTCAATAGACAGATTAGTAATTATTTTTATTTAATCAAAATTATTTATTTTTGGTGATTAAAAATTATTTTTAAGATGAAAACTTTAAATAAAATTTTCGAAGGATGAGACTTTGTTTTTTCTTTGTTAATTTCCTTTTTCATCTTAAGATTATTATTTTAAACAAAAAACTTCAATTTTTATTTAATTAATCTCTTTCCTTGACTTACCAAAAATTACTAAAATTTCCTTTTTAGTCTATTATTCTTTTAATTTTCTTTTTTTAATTAATTGACCTTTTAATCATTTATTTCCAATTGATTAATTTAAATTTCGAATTATTTTTTTTCAGATTTATATTTTTAATTTAAAATTCCTCAGACAATATTTTTTTGTTTTTATTTATTTATTTAATTTGTTTAACCTTTTAATTTTTATTTACTTAACTTTTAAATTTAAATAATATACTTCCTCCTTTTTTTTAATTTTTTAAAACTTCCCTGTTAAATAATTTCTTCCATAAAACGATAGAAAGCTTTTCCGAATTTTTTTAATAAATTTATTGACAAATTAATTATTTTATTCAAAAAATGTTTATTTACTTCCTATAAAATTCTAAATTAAAAAAACTTTAATTTTAAACATCAATAAATATAAAAGTTTTATTAAATGTGTTTACACACATTAGTAATACTTGAATATATTTTAGAATTTTTTGTATTTATTTATTTCTCTGACAGTGAAAGTTCCATTAAAATAAAATAATGTGATTATCACCTTCATCTTATAAAATTATAAAAAAAATACAAAAATTCTTTTACGACCAAACTTTATATTTTTTTATTTATTCTCTTAAAAAATATTTACTTATGTGTTGTATCTCTCCATTTTCTTCTCTTCAGCTTTTTTAAACATTTTTTTGATGGAAATTTAAACTTACGGACTCGAAACCTGAAAACTTTTGCTTCTTATTTAATTAATTCAGGGCTCTCATTCGTACTTTATTTGAAAGTACAGTACTTTAAAATCGACCTCCGTACTTACAAAATTGAATTTGTACTTTATTGAAAGTATGTACTTTAAAATCAACATTTTAGATTGAAAATGAAATTGGGGAAGGGATTGGGCAAAAAAGTGAATTTTTTTGGCCTACGGCATTCGAAATTCTCAAAATTTTCGCCTGCGGCGCTGAAAAAGGAAGAAATCTGGCTTCTTGGGCTCCAAATTTCAAAAAATTTTCGCCTGCGGTGCTGAAAAAGTGAATTTTTTTGCCTACGGCCTTCTAAAATTTTAAAAATTTTCGCCTGCGGCGCTAAAAATGGAAATAATCTGGCTTCTTGAGCTCTAAAATTCTCAAAATTTTCGCCTGCGGCGCTGAAAAATGACGAAAGAAAGTAGCTTGTTTGAGGTTGACTGTCAGGGCTTTATTTCTTGTGTCAGCGAATTTTGACATGTCATGCATTGAAATGCACAAAATGCTCAGTGGAAACAAGAAATTATTAGAAAAGATTCATTTAGGAGAGAAATATAAAAATTTAAGCACGAATAAATATGTATTTTCTAATTTAATTTTGAGTGTACTTTAAATGTGGAAATTTTGTCCCTATGTACTTTAAAATCAAGATTTTTGTACTTTTGATTGGTATTTTGTCGATGAGAGCCCTGAATTAATTTAATTAAAATTTAATTTTTATTTGTTTATTTTAGTTAATTTCTGAAAAAGTTCTGGGCTAAAAATGCCTGATTTTTAATTATTTCAGAAAATACTCTCTTACCACAGTTTTTGGGGCCATTAATTTTTAACACGTCGTTTTCCCCTCTTCTCTTTTTTTGCAAACTATTAAAAATATATTTTAAAACGAGAAAATCAAGCAAACAATCTGTGGTCCCTCCCTTCTCTTTTTTTCACCTTTTCGCCCAATAAATTTACTTATAATAAATATTTTCTTAGTCAGTTTTAAAATATTCATCAATCTTATTAAAACCTTTAAAAGTCACCAGTTACTCCTTTCTAGATTTATTTTTAATTTTTGTGTAAAAATCTAAAAATAACAATTATTATTATTTTAATTTTGCTTGAATGTCTGATTTTAATGATAAATTTTACTTTAGAGAATTTTCTTTTTAAAGACTGAATTAAAGATGAAGAGAAGGAAGAGCATTTATTTTTGATCCCCTTAGCCATTCTTAACAATCTCCCTATTTGAGGTAGTGATCGAATGGTACCTTACTATCGACGATATTCTTCGGCATTTATCGGTATTCCTTATCGTTAGAATAGTACGAAATTCCGATCACTAATTTGTGTAATTGAATTTTTAATTAAATTTTTTTCTAATTTTATACCTTCCATTTAAGATTAACCTCCTTGTCTAACTTATTTTTAAGAAAAATATTCTATTGAAATATATTTTTTTAAATTTTTTGAAAATTTTTATTTGCCCTTTTTTAAAAATAAAAGAAAAATATCCTGTCATTTTCTGAGATTATTCTTTAGAAAAAAGAAAAAAAACACTTCCGAAATCGTTCATCATCCTTTTGATGATTTTTCGCTTCGATGAATGATAATATTTTTAATATTTTAATTGCTCGATTGTTCCTTTCCTCCACAATTTGGTCACTTTTTTCTACTTTTTTCTTCCGTTTGTCAATGACGGACACTTTAATTTTTCTTTTATTTTTATTTTTTATTTTTTCCGTTTGCGCCACTTCCTCGCTTTTTTTTTATTCTTTGCGTATTTACTACCTTAGACTAGTTTTTTTAAATGTTTTTCTAATTGTTTTTATACTCAAAATTCGATCTATAAGATCAAAGAAAGCTATCTCAATATTTATTCTCTTTCTTTTCCATTTCCTCGGGAATATATTCATCTAAATAAATTATTTATTTGAATATTTATTAGAAAGATTTAATTATTTTTATTCAATATCTATTATCGTTTATATGTTAGAAGTGTAATCCTTTTATATATCAATCAGATTGATCGCTACAGTTCTTTAACCTTATGGAGAAAATAAATTCATTCAACTTTCTGAACACTTTGAATAAATTAGGAATTTAAAAGATAAAGATTTGAATATTTGAGTGATTGAGATTAACACTTTATTGCAATTTTATTTGTAACCTTTTATTTCTTTTTGCTGGGTGGGAGGAAGAAGCGCCTTTGATTTTTCTTTCTTTCTTGCGGTTTCCAATCCCTTTTATTTGAGAATAACCTTGTTATTGTTCATCCAAGCAACAAATAAATAAAAATAATTAGTTATGTAGGTATGATTAGAGCTCGACCAGAAGCATCGGTCAGTATTTTCGATAAATATTTTAAAGATCTGAATCAAAAGATTGGTTTAGTTTTTGCTTTTTTCCATAATTAAACCTCTAATCTTTTCATATTCGATTGCGATATCAATCAGAAATGGCAAGCCTACATTTCCGATCGGGCTATATTGATAATTAATTATAATTTACATATTTTTATTTAAAAATTACTTAAATTTTTAACAACAAATTTTTATTTTAGTTTTAATATTTATATATTTTTTCGTTTTCTAATATTAAAAACATTTTTTTCTTCAATTATTACTTCCTTTTTTTAAAAATAATAGGAAATAATTAGTATCTATTTTATTCTTTTAGTTTTTCTATTCAAATTTTTTCTGATTATTTTTTATATTTTCTCATTAACATCCTCTACTTTTGTTGGATATATTCTCAGTTTTTTTGCTAATATCCAGAATTTTACTAGAAAAATTTTTTTATTTTGCTAAACTAAAAATTTGGCAATTATTTTTTATATAAATATACCTACCTTTTTTGTATTTATTAACTGAATACAAAAATTATAAATTAATCAAAAGTGTTAAACTATAACTTTAATTTTTATTTAACTATAATTTAATTTATTTTGTATTTTGTGATTTACTTAAATATGTATTTAAAGTAAAAGGTTTTCCTTTTCTTTATTTATTTTGATTATTTTTAACTGTTAAAAGTTAATATTTATTAATTTTAAAATTTATTTTATTTTTCTCTTTTTTTCTTGTGAATCATTCAAAAAAATTATCAGACTTTTTTTTTCAATTTTAAATTCCCATTTTTCTATTTTTAGAAAATTTTAAATGAAAAAATCGTGACAAATTTGCTAAAATGTCAGCAAAATGTATTGTCTTTTCTGTTTGTACAAAATCATTTTTTAAAATATTTTATTCTATTTATAGAAACATTTGAAAAATTAATTTATTTTTTAATCAATATACATATGTAAAATCTTGACTTTTTCAAGACCTTTCCCCTGCCATCAAAAATATCTGCTTAACTAATATGTCCTAAATCCTTAAAAATAATTGTTAAAATAACCTAAACTTCGATCGGGAAAATGTTGGGGGAAATATTATCCTAAATAAACGTTTCTTCTGCATAAAACCCTTTCTTTTTTTCACTTTTTACTTTTTTTTCTTTAAATAACAATAACAAATATTTTAATAATTGTGCAATTTATTTTATTTTTTTGCGCATCAAAATCAATTTAAAAATGCAATTTTCTTTTTATTTTTTTTAAATAGTACATTTATTTTTTATAATATTTTTTTATTATTTTCTTTTAAAATTTTAAATTTTGCGAGAATTTTCTTTGAAATTATTTTTGATTAAAAATTAATTTTGTAGAATTTGTTTTAAAAAAATAAAAAAAAGTATGGCAGTCACAACAACAACAACAAATACATTAACTAGTAATGAACGGCATCCTAAACGTTTCTTTTGTTGTAGACCAGGTTATGGAAGAATGCCTTCTGCCGAGTCTGGAGAATCCTCTTCTTCTTCAACTAATACAGCTAGTACTTCCTCCTCTTCCTCTTCTTCTTCTTCAATTAATTCTTCAATTGTTCATCTTTCAATGCCAGAAGAGTTTGAAGTAAAAATTAAGAAAACCCCTTCTTCTTCTTCCTCCTCTTCTTCCTTTGCTTCTTCTTCCTCTTCACAAACTTCTTCCCGCCGTTCAAAATCTCCAACTCCTTCAACTATTCTCTCAGCAATTTTAGCAAAACAACGTCGTAAACATCACAAACCTACTAGTTTAAATACAATAATTTGTTGCCCTTCTAGTTTAAGCAAAACAGTTTCTGCAATAAGTGAAATTGATAATTTTGAAAGAATTCAATTAAATAATTCTGTGGAAAAAGAAGAAATTAAAAAAGAAGGGAGAAGAAATGGATTATTTAAAAAATTTGGAAATATTCAAAAAAAATTTATTTTAAATTTTAATGGAAAGGGGGAAAATAATGAAAAATTAAAAAAAGGTGAGAAAATGGGTAGGAATGATTTTTAAATTAATTGTGAATATTTTTGGAAAATTTTTGTTCAATTTTTTGTGTATTTTTATTTTGCAACAAAAAATATTTTTTAATAATTTTAATTAATTTTTATTGTTTTTGGGGGGAATTTAAAAATAAGAAATAAATTAATTTAAATTTAAATTAATTTTAATTTTTTTATAGCAGGTAGTCCTCAACAATTAGAAGATTCTTCATCATCATCCCAACTTTCTTCAACTTCAGAAAAAGTTTTTTCCCCAGAAAAACAATTAAAAACAGCAATTGCCAACGCTTCACAATGGGCCCAAGCAATAAAACAAGCATTAATGCCAGTAACCCCCCAACAATCGAGTAACCAACCTTCTCTAAATTTTAACAAAGAAAGAGAAATATCAAAAAATGGACAAAAAGATTTACAAAAAAATTCCAAACAAATAAATCAAACAAATAATGAAATTGGGCATTTGGGTGTTCAAATACAAAGTGAACAAGAATTCTCTCAACTTTATCAAATATTTGCTGATGAAGTTTTGGGGTCTGGACAGTTTGGGACTGTTTATGGAGGTAAATATTTTGTATATTTTGTGGAGGGAGAGATTTGTTTTATTTAATTGAAGATATTTGTCGGTATAACCAATATATCCCGTTAATATTTGATTATAATTTTACCTGGACTGGTTAAAAAAATTTTTGTGGGGGTAATACTTTAATAAAGTTCAATTTCCTCTAACTTAGTTATAATTAGTTATAATTTTCAATAATTTATTTCACTGATCCAAGGATCGAATCATTGTATAAAAATTTAAATCTTAATCATTCCTTTTTAATTTTAAAGGTATTCAACGGAAAACAGGAAAACATGTAGCCGTTAAATTAATCGACAAACTTAAATTTCCAAGCAATAAAGAAGCTGCACTTAGAACAGAAGTTGAAATATTACAAAAAGTTAGGCATCCAAGTGTTGTGGAATTTCAGCAAATGCTTGAGACGCCCGACAGAATTTTTGTTGTTATGGAGAAATTAAAGGGTGATATGCTTGAAATGTAAGGAGGGATTTAAAAAATTTGAAAATTTTAATTTTTAAATTTTTAGGATACTTTCTTCTGAGAAGGGAAGGCTTTCAGAACGTATTACGCAATTTTTAGTTCATCAGGTAGATATCTAGATTTAATATAAATTTTTGTAAATGTCTCTCATTTCTTTGAGAGGAAATCCTTCTTTCAATATAGGTAGTACCCTTTTTTAAATTTCTGTCAAAAACCTTTCAAATCCTTCAGTCCTTTTAGATAATTTACCACTTCTATACACCTTTAAACCCCTCATCCGCTATTTTCTTTAATTTTTTTTAATTCTGAAATAATTGGAAATATAATTCTTTCCTTTTTTCAGATTTTAATTGCCCTTCAATATTTACATAGCCAAAATATTGTCCATTGTGATTTAAAACCAGAAAATATTTTATTAACTTCCGATTCTGATTTTCCACAAGTTAAACTTTGTGATTTTGGTTTTGCAAGAATAATTGGAGAACGTTCTTTTCGACGTTCTGTTGTTGGTACTCCAGCCTATTTGGCACCTGAAGTTCTTCGAAATAAAGGATTTAATAGATCTTTGGATATGTGGTCTGTTGGTGTTATTGTTTATGTAGGTTTTTTTATTAAAATTAATTTCTTTAGAACATTGACTGTTCAAATATTATTGTTATACTTTTATGTCAACAGGGGGAATATGTATATGTAATAGTAATCTTTAATATTTTTCTGTTGAAAGGTTTCTGAAATTTTTTTTGATAAATTCAAGTTTACCTGGTATTAATAAACCTGAATCGACCTGTTATCATGTTGAACTAATCCTAATAACCTAATTTATAAAAATATCATTTGTATTCTTTAAAGGTAAGCCTTTCTGGTACTTTTCCATTTAATGAAGATGAAGATATTAATGACCAAATTCAAAATGCTGAATTTATGTATCCCCCCAATCCTTGGAAGGAAGTTAGTGCTGAAGGTTAATTTAAATAATATTAGACTCTTTAAATTATTTTAATTTTTTAGCAATAGAGTTTATCAGTTCTTTATTACAAGTTAAAATGAGTAAAAGACTTACTGTTTCTAAATCGTTGGCACATATTTGGTTGCAAAGCTATCAGGTGCTTTTAAACTTTCAAATATTTTCTATTAGCCCTCCCTCTCTCTCATTTATCCCTCCCTCCCTTTTGTTTATTACCTCTATTTGGGGGGGGTTGTGATAATCGGCAGTACATATTTCTCTATTTTAAAATAATTTATTTTTATTTTTCTCAGCTTTGGTCTGATTTGCGATTGCTAGAAAAAGAAGTTGGTGAACGCTTTGTAACACATCCTAGCGATGATCAACGATGGAAGGACCATGAAAATGAACGGGGAATTACTCCAGTCTATTGAATGAATTTAATTATTATTGATTATATTAATTAATTAATTTTGTGTTTTTTTGTTTTTTTTTTAATATTTTTTTCAAAAGTGTTTTAATGTAAAATCTTTTTTAGGTACTATTTTTAATATTTCTTTGTAAATTTAATTTTTTTCGTTCCATATCCGGTGATATTCTTTTTATATATTTAATTAATTTTCATTTAAATATTTTTAATTTTTCTCCAATTTCTATCTTTTTTTTCAACACATATCTTTAAATTAATATATCTTTAAATTAATTTTAATAAAAATATATCTCTAATCATCCCTCTCTTAAAAACTATTTATGTTTGAATTTTGGATTTGTCTATAATTTTTTAAAAATTCTTTGATTTTGTTATTATCTTTTAATAATTGTTAATAAAGAGAATTAATATTTCTTATTAATTATCTATCTGTTGTCGAATCTCTCTAAAATAACATCTAAATACCTAAAATACCCCGCCGGAGGAGGATGTACCTATTTCAGATAAATTCGACTATATTCTGAGTATTCCATTTTTCTTTCCCAACTCTAAAAAAATTTTGTTTGTTTTTATTTTTTTATTTGTTATTTTTCTTTCATAAAAAACCATCTTAAGAATTTTTTTTCATTTTTACACATTTGATTCACAAATATATTTTTTGTTTTTAAACCATAATAAATAAATAAAATATTTTAAAAATTTTATTTTAATTTTTGTTTTTTTACTTTTAAATTTTTCAAAAAAAATTTAAAAATTTGGAATAATAGTACACGTTTTAAATTATTAATTTTTCGAAGTCTTTTCATCTTTCTGATATAAATTGTCCTTCTAGTAGACAATTTAAAATATAAAATTAGGTAGTATATCTTCAACAAATAATCTTTATTTTTGTCCAAATCCTCCGGTCTGTGTTCTCCATAAATAAAAACAATTTTTCTTATCTCATTTTCTTTTGAAAAAGCATAAACTTAAATAATCCAAAGCTTTTTCTCGTTTTCATGGCTGTTTTTGTGTGGATAAATATAAAATGATAGAAACAATTTAAAAAAGAATGCGGCTGTTTCTTTCGAGAAAATGATCAATCAATTATTTTATTCTTCAAATCATTCCCATTCCTTCTGATAGTTGAAAGACAAAATAAAAATAAAATTCTTTTTTACTCATTTATATATCAAAATAAATAAATAAATTTAAAAGTTGTATTTAGTTTAGTTTTTCAATTAGAACTTTACGAAATTCCGAGCCCTTTATTCGTGGGATTTTTAAACTGACCCGGACCAGGTTTTCCGAGTTAAAATGAGACTACCAAAACCAGATTTTTTACAAATCGCTTAAATGTTTAACTCAAAACACAACTTGTAATTAAAACCCACATTTAATCCGAAAAAATACTTTGCAAAATTAAACAAGTAAGTTTAAAAAAAAAATTAATCTCCAACACTCAATGCTAAAAATACGATCCTTTTACTCCGGTGTATTTTCTTTACAGCACAATTACTTAATAATTCTCGGGAAAAAAGAATTAATATTAATAGACAAATCAGAATTATTTTAATAAAAACCGGATTATTTTTCTGATAATTAACTAAATTAATAATTATTTCCAGAATAATATACAAAAATGGCAAAATATGTGCCTTGGTATTACAAAAGATCTCCTCCAATATTTTGTGGCATTTGCCTTCCTGTATATATGGGGGTTTGGCCGGCTAGGTTATTTAAAAAAATTAAATAAATATTTAATTTTAAATTTATTTTAAAGAAAATTTGTTGTTATAATTGGATTTTTGTTATTTTTGATTGGAATATTACTTTTATTGGGGCTTTTATTGACTTGTATTGCTGTTGAATGTTCTTATATGTTTAGTTTTTTAAATATTTTTTAATTAAAATTAAAATAAAGTGCCGGGGCTCTCCTTCCTTTTGCTATAATTTTAATTATTGCCGGACTTTTAATTTTACATTGTGGATGGGCAGCCCATTTACTTGATAGAGAAGGGGGAGGAGTTCCTTTTGATGAACAAACAAAAACAACAGTTACAACAACGAGACGACAGAAAAGGTAAAAAATAAATAATAATTGAATTAATTTTTAAGTTTTCCGGGAATATATCGGAAACTTTTATAAATATTTCTTTTAAAAATAAATTTCCAGAGGTGGTCCACCAAGAAAAGAAGAGGAATTAGATTTTGGAGAAATTGAAGGGAAAGAGCCTCCACCGGAAATTAAACAAGGTTATTGGCAATTTGAAGAAACAGAGGCTTGGCAGACTGTTGCTAATCCTTATCCAATAAAGTTAGTCTTTAAATATAAATAAAAAAATTTAAATATATAGACCAAAATCTTTAAATATATTTTTTGTTAAATAAAAATAAATTTTCTAAACTTTAAATAATTCCCAATTTTCAGTTACACTTTGAAACCCGTTATAGAACGACAACCTTATGTTCCCTAGAAAAAAATGATGTAGAAGGATATTTTTTTGGTTTATAACAAATCTAAAATTAATAAAAAAAGTCCTTTCTTTTATTACTGCCAAATTTGTTTTTTAATTAAAATTTACATAAAACGAAGAATTTTGTATAATAGTTAGGAAATAAAAAATAAAAACTATTAATTTAGAAAAAATTTTTTTTAAAAATTCTTTCTATTATTTTTAAATTTATTTTTGAGACTTTATTATTTCCAAATAAATTTTAATTAAAAAATTATAAATTAACAAAAAAATTTTTTTGAGAATTGTATTTACCGTTGCCATTTAGAGACAAACATTAAAAAATGATTGCGTGAAATTGTGTTTAATATGTTTAAAATTATTAAAAAATTAAAAATGAATTCCTCATTAAATTTAAATTAAATATAGCGTGCATATGTACTTTATAATTAGTGTAAAATATTTTTTAATTAATTTTTTAATTATTAAAAAAACTTTTGTTAATTTTTCTAAAACTGACACTTGATTCATTAAATTTATTACCAAAATATCGTTTTAATATAAAATATATTTTGTAATTAATTATAAGGAAGTGCTTCTAAATGAATTTATTTTCAGATTTAAATAAAAAGTTACACAATTAAAGAGAAAGGATATGTAAGTATTTCTGTTGGAAGATTTAAGTTTAAATTTTATAAAAATTAAGCTTGGTCTGTAAATTTCTTTGAATCTGCTAAAATTCGAAATTATATTTAATCAGGGTTTCGATCTCGAATTTTTAAAAATCCGCAAAATTGATCGAAAAAATCCGCATTTTATATCAAAAATCCTCAAAAAATTGTCAAACACAAAAATTGAATTAAAATCTATTTATGATTGTATTTTTCGTCTTCTACAATTGAATTAAGCAATTTTTTTATTCCTGATGATCATCTTATGAAAATACGACAATTATCTGAAAAATTGTATTTTTGTCGCGGAAGATGTCGTAAATTTTTATTTCTTCCATTTTCAGCGCCGCAGGCGAAAATTTTTTTAAATTTGTAAGATCCTTTAGCCAAAAATCGTTCATTTTCAGGCCAGACAAAAAATTTGAGGATTTTGGAAGATCAAGGACACATATTCCTTCCTTTTCTGCGCCGCAGGCGAAAATTTGAGAATTTTTGAAGGCCAAGAAGCCAGATTTCTTCCATTTTTAGCGCCGCAGGCAAAAATTTTGAGGATTTTAGGAGGTCTTAGCAGAAAAATAATGACATTTTTGCCAAAAACTACAAGAAAATATAAAAAATCCTCATAATCTTCAAAAGACCACAAAAATCCGCAAATCCGCATTTTAAAAAATAATCCTCATCGCCTTGTCAAAAAACCACAAAATGAGGAAAAATCCGCAGATATCGAAACCCTGTATTTAATTCCAAATTAATAAATAGATATTCTCATAACTACAATTTTTTCTCCAATTTTATGTGAATTAAAATAGATATTCACATAATTCCCATTGTTTTCTCCAATTTAATATAAAAAGTTGAAACAAAAAAGTTCCTAAAAATTTCCAAGCTTCTTAAACAAAGAAATTAATTTTAAAAAATTATTTTTAACTTTTTTAAATTTTAATATTTTTCTAGTAAACTTAAAAATACAAAATTTAATTTTTTTGTCTTCTTTATTCATTAATATATACAAATATATAAACATTAAAAATTATTTCCTCGTTAAGTTTAAAATTCTTGTCATTATTTATTTAAATATATAAAAGTTACTATCCATTTCCGTTTTTTAAAGACATTAAAATAAAATTAAAAATTAAAATTGTTTTTTATAAATGGAGTCTTTTTTTACATTTAATTATTCCCACTAAAGCCCCCCCCCCACATGTTTTTCCTTTTTTTAAATTTTCACACAATTTTTTAATTTAAAAATTATTTTTTATTAGAGAAAGTTATATTTATAGCTTTATTTTAAAAATATTATTATTAAAAAGTGAGAAAAAATAATTTCAAAAACCCTTAAATTATTAAAAGATTTGTTGCAAAATTTAATAATGTCAAATATAACTACAGATCCGGTAAGTAAAATAAAAATTTTTTTCGGGAAATATTAAAATAATAAATTATTTTTGGAATAAATGTAATAATTATTATTTTCCAGAAAATTTTAAAAAATCTGAAAAAGTTTCTGGAATATTCAAATATATTTACGTATATTTCCAAAATAATCAGAATTAAAATTATTAATCAGAATTGAAGTTAAAAACTTTTAAATTACCTAAAATAATTTAATTTCCTTTCAAGGCTTATGCTGCATTTAAAGATGCAGGTTTTTGTGTCCCTTTAGTTTTACTTATTTTTTGTAAAGCTTCTGTTTGTTTATTAGGTATTATTTTAAATGGAGATCTTGTTTACATTACTTGGAAAACAAAGTAATTTTCGAAGATATTTTTTTTTAATTTTTAAAGAACTTTACGAGGAGCTTGTAATTTACAAATAGCTTTAAATGCTTTTTCTATTTGTATCCAACAAAGTAGCAGTTTTGTTACTTTAGTTGTTGTAGTAAGTGGAACAAATTTTATTCCTCTTGGATATTGTGGAATTATACAGGTATTTTAATTTCTGCTGTTCAATTGAGACGAGATTTTAATCAAAATCCTCATTATCAAGGATAAATATTCTCTAGATATCTCTTTCGGCACTCGATCAACCCCCTACTCTAATTTTAATTATAAATAATTATTTTAAACAAAATTTTAAGGCAATTCCACTCTTTTGTACAATTTTTACTAATGGAATAGCATTCTCAATTGGTGTTGACCGCCTTTTAAGTGTTGCTTTTCCAATATGGTAATTGAATAATTAATAAATAATTAATTAAATATTTAAGGTATATGGTACATGATAAAAAGAATTATTTAAATATAATAATTAGTTTTTGTTGTTTATATGCTTTAATTGTGCCCATATGTGGAATTAATATTTCTTTATCAAATCCGGAAATGTTTGTATTTATATAGTATTTTAATTTACTTTTTTTAATTTTTTAGACCAGTTATGTGCACTGTAATGTAAATAATTTATTTATTTTCAAATTTTTTTTGAATAAAAAATTTATTAGAGATCCAATGCAAAAAGATGCTACTTGGGTAGTAATTATGTTACTCTCAGTTAATTTATCTTCTGTAAGAATTTTTAAATAAAATATATTCAAAACCTTTACTATAAAATTTAATTATTTTAGGTTTTTTGTTATATTTCTGTTTGGATTATTTTAATGTTTAAAGATTCAATGAAGAAAACACAATGTAAAATTTTAAATATTCTCTCTATAAAAATCTTAAATAAAATTAATTTATTCTCATTTCTAGTAAATGTATTTAAATCCCTTTCTGTTATTTTATTAATGGAAATTTGTGGTTGGATATCTAATTATTCAATTCGTTTAATTATTGGGGCAGCTAATCTCCACACTTTAAATTCCTGGTATATAATTAATATAACAACAATTATGCCTTATATTGCTATGAGTTTGTCTCCTGTTTCTTTATATATTTTTAGGTAAAATTTTAAATAAATGAAGTATTATCTAAATATTAAAAAATATTTAACCTCTCAACTACAGATTCTCTCTCTAAAAATATTAATTATTAGCCTCTTTAAAATTATTAATAGACCAAAAAATAAAAATGTTTAACAAGTTTTTGGATTTAAAAATAGATTTATCTTTTTTTAAAAAAATATACTACACTAACAATATTCCAATTCTTCTCTATTTTTTTTAAATTAAAGTACTGAATATAGCCGAGCATTTCTTAAACAATTTCCATTTATTTCCCCCTCCAATTTCAATACATCAACTACCGCTGTTGTCCCCTATGGTGGTCATCCAAGTAAATAAATTTATTTATTTTTAATTTTTTTAAATTTTTTCTGAAAATTTATAGAAAATTCTGTGGTTTTTTACAAAAAACAACAAAATAATATACAAAAATCGAATTTAAATAAATATTAAAAATATTTTTAAAAATTTCCCTTCATTTATTTTTTAAAGTATTTTTCCTATTTTGTAAATAAATTTAGAAATACATAGGTATTTTAATGACAAATATCTCAATATTTTTATAAAAAATTAAAATAAATTTTAAAAATAAAATTATTATTTAATTTTTATTTGTAAATAATTTTTAATGTTCAAATAAAATATTTTTAAAAATCAATTTTTGATTAAATAAGGAGCTCTTCTTTTTATTTCTTCAATTCCTCCCTGAAAAAAAAATTATTTTTTTTTATTTTCAAAATTTAAAAACATTATAAAGTTTTGCTTTAGTGTCTTGTACTAAAGCTAATGCTAAAAGAATTAAAGACGCTTCATCTGCTGTATTGCCAAAAACAATTGTTTGGTAATTACGGTTATAGCCAATTTGTGTTAATTCTTTAAAAGAAATTTTTAGAGAAAAATATTTCTTTTAAAAATTTACTTTTTAATATTTCCTCTGTGGATAATAAAAATCCTTTTGGAGTAACTAATTCATCAGCTGGAAAAGGCTTTGATCCAGTTAAATGTCCTCTTTGTGTTTCTTTTGAAATTAAAATATATTTAATTTTAATATTTTATTTTCTCAAATTTTTTTATATTATTACTACACTTCTAACTTTTAATTAAACACTCATCTAATAGTAAACAAATATTTAAAAAATATTCATATAATGAGAGATAAAGAGTAAATTTCCCTAATATTTTTCAAATAGAATCTTTTTCCCCCCTTTATTTTTAAACTTAACATAAATTCCAGATAATCCAAAAAATTCATTTCTAGGCCTCGAATCGAGAAAATTATACTTTAAAATAATTTTTAAATAAATATTTTTTTCAAAAATTTACCCAAAATAATCTACTTAAAATACAATAACCATAATTATCTACAGTTGTTAATTCTTCAAATGTAGATAATAAATCATCTCTGAATTTGGCTGTCCAATTACCCAACTAAAAATATTTTTAAAAATTTTTTGAGGATTTTGTGATTAGGGAATAGAAAATAATAAATATCACAGCTTTATTTAATTTTCTATTAAATTTGTCCCCAGTATGGTTGACGGTACTTATGTAGAAAATCTTGGGAAATCCGGAACCGGACCAAAGCACCAAACCTTAAATCCTCGTTTATTCGATCATTTCCAAACTAGCAACCTTATACATATATCAGGGCTGGGCGAAATCTAAAAATAAAAAGCGAAATGCGAAACGCGAAACTTTTCGCGCTAAAAAATGCGAGAATGCGAAACATGCGAGACGCGAAAGTGCGAAATAAGCCCAGCCCCGTTATATATTCCCTATTCCTTTTCCCCTTTTATTTTTTGTTGTAAATTTAAAAAAATTAATTTATTTATTTATTTAACCAACACTAATATTTTCTGCAGTTCCATTAGTTAATTCAAAATCAGAATTTTGTAAAGCTTCCAAACCCCCATCTACAATACCCACATTTTCATGTCCATATATCTAAATTTATTTTTAATTTATTCTCTTTTCAAAAACCCCTACTCTAAATAAAAACCAAACACGCGCCGATTCCAACATTCCCCCATTTGGACCTCTCCCATAAATTACCAATTGATCATTTTGATCAATCCCCAAACGTTGAATATATTGTTGGAAAAGTTGGGGGGAATATAAAGATTGTCTTTCATTCCTTTTAAATAATTATTTATTTAAATATCACTAAATATTACTATACTTACCAACTTGGATAAGTTGCTATATTTAAATTAAAAGGAATTGCCCCCTCTAAATGTGAACGTTCAAATTGAAGATTCCTCTTAACATTTAATCTTTCTTTAATTTTTATTTTCAAAAACCTTTTCCAATAAAAGTTTATCCCATTTTGCATAATAATCAGAATAAAATTTAATATGATCAATAGGTAAAGGTTCTGGGTCATAACTTGCATCCAAAATTTTTATATTTTTACCAGACTTGGAAAAATAATTAATTTTTAAATATTAAATAAAAAAAACTTTAATCCAATCATTTAATTGTTCAACTTTAATTAAATAAAAGGGACGTGTTGGGCGTTGTTGGGGAATATTAAATGATGATGTATAAACTTGAAAATATTTAAAAGAAGTTTATTTTTAGGTAAATTTCAAATTTATTTTTAAATATTTTCTGAATTAAAGTATTTTCTTTTGTTTACTAAAGTTTTTCTTTTATCTAATTTTTTAAATTTTGTCAGTGTATGCATATCAGGGAGCTAGCCGACATAAAAATTAAATTCCTGAGTTTCTGGAATCGGGTCGGCTAGAACCCTGATGCATATATTTACATACTTATTCAATACTTTGTTGTATTGAATATCAAATTTTTTAAAGTGCTTGGAAATCTCAACTTATTTTAGCACGAGCATCCAAGCACCGATTATAAAGTTTCTTTTTTAAATTTACCCGTATTGGGTGGAGGAATATTTGCTGCTGGAGGCCAAAACTGATTTGAAGGAAAAAGAGGGGCAGGCACTTTTTTATAAATAATTAAATTTATTTAATTAAAATTAATTTCTTTACTTAAATTATTTTTTTGTTGATCATTTACTACTAAATTATTATTTAATAAAGTTTGTAAAAAAGTTTGTAATAATGTTGGATTAGTATCCCCAGGTAAAATTAAAGTAACATTTTGAATTGCTAAATTTGAACGTTTTAAAGCTTCTGTCATTAATTTGATTAATTCTTCTTCATCTAAATTATTTTGTTCTTCCAAATTAGTTGTTTCTACTATATCTGTTGTTGGTGTAGTTGAAGTATCTGGGGGAGGAGAGGTTTCCTAAAATTTTAAATTTAAGGTTTTTAATTTATAACTTCTTCCTTTTTTACCCCTCCTTCTTTTTCTTCTCCCTCTTTTTTCTCAGATTTTGGTTCTTCTGTTGTTTCTTCTTCCTTTCCAGCTTCTTTTTGCTAAAAAAATATTTAAGTTCAAAATTATTTTTAAATTTATTTACTTCCTCTTTAGGTTTAAGTGTTATTATTTCTGTATGTTCTCCTTCACTAGGTGTTGTTGTAGTTGTAGTAATTATTTCTTCAATTATTTTATTTTCTTCTTTTTCCCCTTCCCCTAAATTAATTATTGTTGTAGATATACTTGTGGATTCTTCTTTTGGATTTTCAGTAACTACGGGCATAGGATTACTTGCTGCAACTGGACGATATTCTGGCTTTTCGAGATGAACGGGGACCTAATTTTTAAATTGAAAAAAGAGTAAATTTCGATTAAAAACTAAAGAAGGATCCGCAATTTCCCCAGGATTTGGTAATTCATTTGTTGCTTCTCGGGGCGTTTTTGTATCATTTTCTTTATTTTCTGTTGAAGATTTTGTTAGTTGTGTTGAACTTTAAAAAATTATTTAAAAAAATAATTAATGAATAAATGTATATGTAACTTACTTTATTTCACATTTTATTAAAGTAAATTGAACAAAAATTAAATAAAAATTTAAAAAAGAATAATTAATTATTTTTGACATATTTAAAGCTTTAAATAAACATTAAATTGGAACTTGATAAACATTTTTAAGAATATTAATAGGACCGGGGAATTTAAAACTTAGAAAATAATAGAGAGCTCGGCCTGAAAGGGGCTGTTGATATAATCGAGAAAAAATTGAATCTCAGTCTGTTTCCTTGTGATTCAAAAACATATTTCCTCAAATTTCCTCGTCTCCATAACTTTCTTCGTGATTCAAACTTTTTAATAATTTTTTTATTTTTTCAAATGATTCTCCGCTATATTAACAAAATTTTTAAAATTAAAAAGGGGTACCCATATATAATTACTATGGATGGGGTTTATATGGACTATCAATCGAAAAATATGGACATATAATATGGACTAAAAATCTCAAAATATGGACTGAAATATGGACTAAAATCCAAAATATGGATCAAATATGGGCCAAAAACTGAAAATTTTTATCGTAAAATTTCCATTTTTAAGCAGCAAAATGTTAATTAAGTTAATTTTGAAGCAAATTAATACAAATAAACCAATTAATAGTGATTATTTTGTTTCTAAAAATATTTTGGATAATATTTGAGTCGAAAATTTTTAGTAAAATTTTTGTCAAAATTCTCATAAAAAAATTTTCAAAAATTTTTTGAAAAAATTTTTTCAAAAAATTTTTTTGTAAAAATTTTTGACCAAAAATTTCATAAATTTGAAAATTTTGACCAATTTTTGGCAAAATTTTACAAAAAATGGCGAAATATGGATAAAATATGGAAAATATGGACGGAACGCCTAAATATGAAAAAATATGGAAAATATGGATTGATAACTCAAAAACGGCCTTATCACCATATGCTAAAAACATGTTTTTTGGACGTTTCAGAACCCAACGAGTTCAGGAAACGGAGCAGTTCAATTGAGTCCGCACGATTGAGTCCCCACGATTGAGTCCGCACGATTGAGTCCCCACGATTGAGTCCCGGCACGATTGAGTCCCCACGATTGAGTCCGCACGATTGAGTCCCCGTTGTATATACCTCAATTGAGTCCCCGTTAAAAATTCCCGGTAGGAATTTTTATTTTCCTAGATTTTTTTATTGTTTTTTTTTATTTTTTTGTTTTTCTTTTGGGGTTTGCAACTAATTTTGTTAATTAGTTGACCGAGCATCCACTCAAGTCCATCCGAGCACTGAATTTTCTCAATGAGGACGAGAGGGAGGACGAGAATCTTGTGTAGGTAAAAGTTTAATTTTTATTTTTTAATTTTAGATTTTATATTTCAGGTTGGTCTAACTTTGCTCATCACGTGTCGGACTTCATCCCACGGCTGCAACGATGGGAAATTTGAAAAGGTTTGGAATTTTTATTTTGTTTTTCGTTTTTATTTTTAAAATTTTTTAGTTGATTTTCGTCAGTTTCTGACTGGCGATTTTCAAGTTCACAGTTTCTGAAGGAACGAAGGTGGTGAACTTAGGAGAACAAAAAACGAAAGAAAGGCCCTTCTTTGGCACAATAATTGAAGCTAGACTTTGGTTTTTTTTAATTTTTTTGATAAAATTTTTAAAAAATATTTTTTTATTTTTTTTTTCACATTTTGATTTTCTCCCGTATCCAGGTAAATTCTGCCGGAGTCCGGAAATTAGGAAGGAGTTTTTACGTTCGTAATTTAGATAGTTTACCCTACCCTCCATAGCAGCACAAAAAGTTTTTCCAGCGAAGATTCTGTTGGTCAAAATTTGTTCAGAATCATTCAATCAACTTGATTTTGGTCTTATTCTTATTCAACTCATCTCGTCGATCCCTTTCGAATGAGCTATTTTTTGTTTATTCGAATGTTTCGCAACAAAAATTCCCCATGGAATTCCACCAAAAAATCCACCATTTCGAGCCCCATATCTCGGCGAGAACTTGTTCAACAATGTTGATTTTGGTGTCATTCGACTCACTACTTTCGAATGAGCTGTCATTCAAAAAATCTCTCGATATCCCTCCTAATCCCCAAACCCACAATATCCATCTTAATCTCTCCGAATTTGTTGATATCTGCCTTAATTCAACCGATATCCCCGCTTAAATCTACTTATATCCCTTGATATTCACCAATATCCATCTTGATACCTCGATGTCGCATACAAGTCCCCTGATATTAACATTAATCCCTCCAAATCCCCAAATATCCCTCTTAATCTTTTTTAATATAATTAAATCTAGGGGACTCAATTGAGGTATATACAACGGGGACTCAATCGTGCGGACTCAATCGTGGGGACTCAATCGTGCCGGGACTCAATCGTGCGGACTCAATCGTGGGGACTCAATCGTGCGGACTCAATCGTGCGGACTCAATTGAGGTGTACCGTTCAGGAAAAAAATATGGAAATCCACATAAATCCCATCCCTAATAATTACTTAATATATTTTTGTAGAAATATAGTCAAAAAAATTAATTTTATATTTTTCTTTTCCAGAAATCAAATAAAATCAGAATTAAATATATAAATAAAAGTAATTGACGGATTATCAACTTAAGTGGGCAATATTTTTATTGGGGGTAAAGTGGAAGAGTTAATTAAATAAGAGGACCGGAAATAAATACACAAATAATTAGTAGGTAAATAATTAAAAGGGAAATTTTTTGGAGAATTAAAAAGAAAAGTTTTAAAAGTCTCAACAACTCTAAATTAAATGTTTTTTGAGAAAAAAAATTATTTTTTATTTTAAATTCACAGAATTAAAAAAATAAAAACAAAAAATCCACGTAAATATTTAATATATTTAAATTAAATTTAATAAAAATTACCTACATAAATCCTCTCAAATTTCTTAAAGTAAACATTTTTTAAAAAAAGAAACATCAAAATAAACTTTTCTTTCAAGAAATATATTTTTAGATTAGTTTTTTCTGTTAGTTTTTTGACAAAAGATTTTTATTTTTTGTTAAAAAAATTAATGTAATTTAATTCTAATCTCTCTCTCCCTATTCTTTTATATAAAAAGATAAAGAATCTTTTAAAAATAAAAATTATTTTAGTTCGCAAAATTAATTAATTTTTAAAAATTAATTAGCAAATAGTTCAGTATTTTTGAATTTAATTTTGAGAGGGAATATGTAGAGCTAAAGTTATTTTGTGGTTATTTAATAAAAGACAAAAATAAAAATTAACATTTATTCTTTAATTTAGAGGTAAATATATTTATTGGCAAGATTTATTATGAGCAAACAAACAAAAATTGAAAAATTAAAATAACTGTAATATGTAGTCTTTAAATCAAACATGAATTACCAAGTTTTTCTAAATAAATAACCCAAAAGTTTTTTATTTTCAACTTTTTTAGGAGAACACCTTCAAAAAGGGGGTCTTCAAAACCTCCTTTCGAAAAGGTCATTTCTCTCTCAAAGTTTTTCTCAAAAAGGTCCCTCCAAAACCCCCCAATTCCTTCCCAACATATATTCAAAAAAAACTTGTAATTAATTAATTAAAATTCTATCCTTTTTGTACAACATAAAATAAATTTTTAAAATCAAAATAAAATATATTTTCTTCCTTACTTCATTCTCTTAAATTTAAATTCCTTCATTATTATTTTTAGGTAAACGTTCATTAATTAATTCAATAATTTTATTTAACAAAAAATTTGTTTTGTCAATTTTTCCACAAATTTGTTCAAATTGTAAATTATTTAATTGAATATTTGTTGTTGAAGTATTTGGTTGTTGTTCTTCTTCTAATTTTTGTTGATTATTAAATAATTGATTGTTGTTGTTAGTAGTTGGTGGCGGTGGATGAAGATTTTTATTTAATAAATTATTTTTTGTAATTCCTTCTTCTTCCTAAAAATTTCTTTTTTTAATTTTAAAAATTAAAGAGGAAATGAATTTTGTAAATTAATTATTTTAAAGAATTATTTAAAGTAAGTGAGTAAAGAAAATAATTATTTTAATTTTTAATTAATTAACTTAAAATTCCAAAAAAAACTTTTTATTTTAACCAATTTTTATTTAATTAAATTCCCCATATTTACCATTAAAATTCCCGTTTGTTCAATATTTTCTTCCAAAGTTCTAATCGGCTTTTCCAATTTTCGACTTCTTTTATTTGGAGATATCATTACTTCCTTTTGATTTAAATTTTTTCTTTTCTTTTTTGAATTATCCAAATTAGCTAATTTATCAATTGAAGATTCTTCCATTAAATTATTTGCATGATTATCATTTCCCCCATTGTCCAAAGTTGCATTTAACTGTTTTTTTTTTAAATATTTAAATTTTATCAAAATAATTTTTTACATTTTTTCAAAAAAAATATAATTAAATCTAATTAGTATTTTATTAGTTCCAGTATCAGCCTTTTAATTTATTAAAATGTCAAAAAATAAATAAAAAAATTTTTGACTATTTTTCTCACCTAATTTTCAGTCTAAATTTTTAGCCTTACTTGACTATTACTCTTTTCGTAAGCATAAAAGAAATTAATTTTTTTCTGATCTGAAAACGAGGGATATTCCCATCAAAATTTAAATTTTTTTTCCAATCCTTCTAAATTCATCAAATCTTATTTTCTAAAAAAAATTTCCGAGAGATTTTTTATATCTCAAAATATTTTTTTCTAACCAAAGCAAGAAGAAACTGCTGAGCAGAGTCTATTTGTTGATTATTTGTTGTTTTTATTAAATTATTATTTTCAGAATTTATATTTTTACTATTAATTTCATCCCTTACCATAATTGTTGTTTCCTTTTCTTGTTGTTTATTTAATGTTGTCATTTCCTCATTCCATCCTTTTAACAACTTTCTTGATTCATACAATCTTTAATTTCAAATATTTTCTAAAAATTCCATAACTTTTACCTAATTTTCAATTCATTATTAATTCCATCAAAAGACCCCCCATCAATCGAGTCCAATCCTTCACTCAATTCTCGACTGGGTGTTTGAATTATTGAATCAAACTCCCCAGGTGGAAGAGACAAGCATTTAATATTATCATTATTTATTGGCCCAAGACGGCCTTTTGCTCT